GTTCAATTTTACCAACATTTAAACGTGAGTGATTCAGGCCTTCTGGTCCGTCATCTTTTCCTTTAAAACGCTACTAGTCCTGAACGCCCAAGTAGATTTTGACTAAATTTGGTCTAGAGTATCCTTAGGCCAAGGGGACTCAATTTTGTATAAAAGGTGGGTGTGGCCCCCCTGGGGGCAGAGGGGCGGGGCCCAATAGGGGAAATAGAGGTAAAACCTTGAAAATCCTTCTTCTACCGTAGGGATTAAAGGATTTTATCCTAATTTAGTCTGGGGCATCCTTGGGCCAAGGGGACTCAATTTTGTATACATGGTGGGTGTGGCCCCCCTGGGGGCTGGGGGGGCGGGCCAAATAGGGGAAATATAGCAAATTCTTTAAAATCCTTCTTCTTCTGTAGGAATGCAAGGGTTTGTTCCATATTTGGTCTGAAGCATCCTTTGGTGAAGGGGAACCAATTTTGCATAAACCATGGGTCTGGCCCGCCAGGGGCCTGAGAGGTTGGTCCCAATAGGGAAAACATAGCGAATTATTCTTTAAAATCCTTCTGCTTCTGTCGGAATGAAAGGATTTGTTCCATATTTAGTGTGGAGCATCCTTGGGTAAAGGGGAACCAAATTTGTATAAATGGTGGGTCTGGCCCCTCTGGGGGCTGAGGGGCGGGGCCCAATAGGGGAAATATAGCAAATTCTTTAATATCCGTCTTCTTCTGTAGGAATGAAAGGATTTGTTCCATATTTGGTCTGAAGCATCCTTGGGTGAAGGGGAACCAATTTTGTATAAACGGTGGGTATGGCCCCCCTTGGACCTGAGGGACGGGGCCCAATAGGGGAAATAGAAGTAAAACCTTTATAATCCTTCTTCTACCATATGGATTTAGGGATTTTATCCTAATTTAGTCTGGAGCATCTTTGGGCCAAGGGGACTTAATTTTGTATATGCAGTGGGTGCTGTCTCCCAGGGGGCAGAAGGGCGGGGGCCAATAGGAGAAATAGAGGTAAAACCTTTTAAATCCTTCTTCGACCATCGAGATTAAGGGATTTTTCCATATTTAGTCTGGAACATCCTTAGACCAAGGGGTCTCAATTTGGTATAATTGGTGGGTATGACCCCCCTAGGGGCATAGGGGTGGGGCTCTGTTTGAAGTTTGTTCTCGCTATATCTAAAGTACTGGATGGATCTTTCTGAAATTTCATATGTACTTACAGCACTTACCATGGAGTACTATATCTTTACTTCATACCAATTATTTTAAACATATTCAGGTGAGCGATACAGGCCCTCTTGTTAACAATACCCACAATCATAAAATGACAATCAAATGTGGTTATAAGAAATGTTATCCGAAACCCTATAAGTCTGCAAATAATAATTAACTTGATTTTGTCTTAAAGTACGCTATAGATCATGTTATGCCCATTTGCTTGCTTACAAATTAATAGGTAACGCCACATACCTTTGAAAATTGAATTTAATTCCCATCACATATAATCGATAACATTCCCTGTGTTTATATTCCAAATAGTGTACATACCATTAGATGGCATGACTGGTATAACCATACATCTCATATATATTTATCTACGGCGAGCAATAATGAGTGAAATGCCTGCTCTCTGCTATACAAATATAATTTACTTCCTACATATCTATAAGGACAGTGGTTCATTGTTTAATATGGTACACGTTGGTATTTGGTCCTTGAGACCTTTTACTTCTCTAAATACTCGAATGTCCAAAGGATATATTAACAGACTTTACTGTATAAAAGTAAGCAAACATGGATGTGCCATAGGTGTACCGTTGAACTCGTATCAGTGTCGATAGGTTCAGGTGTCACTAGGGGTTCACCTGTGTCTCTTTACAATAAAAGTGATATTTGATACAAGTAGTATTTTGTACATAAACTGCTTGATATCTGCTAAAAGTATTATTTCGTGTGTTAAGGGTATGCCATCAAAGTAAATGATGTATTAACTTGGTACCAGTTATGATCTATTTACTAAAAAAAATGTCGTATTTTATTGTGTGTAAGTAACTGAATTACGTATGTAAGTATGTATGTATGTATGTATGTATTCACAACCCTATATTTACACGTAGGGTTTGTAAATAAATTTGTATGGCTGTCTATTCAAACCTGAAGAACGATAGTATATTATCAATACCTATTATAAAGTATTCCTAATAATATTATTGTACTATTAATTTCTGGTGTCATATTGTCATTGTTACACCGGATCTGGGTGCCAGCTGGACGACCCTAAAAACAAGGAGAGAACAACGATGATGGTTTCACTCGGTGTTTTAATGTTGAGAACAGGGGCACATGATATTGATACACAATGACATAGCTATTGACAAGTAAACTAAAAATGGCAAGTGACAAGCTGAATACCCTATACATTATATATGTATCAACACTGTCATCTTAATCTACTGACAACTGGCAAATATTAAGTGACTTGAAATGTTGAATTGACAGAACATTACATGTATATATCAACTATAAACAAAACTTCGCAATTTGTTAAGTTCAACAATCGACTAGATTAGTAACTGGCAATCCACACCTGAATAGCCGACTGGCAATTAGGCTGGCAATTATCAACAACAGCTCACTGTATGACCTTGGCAATTTATATTACTCCAAAATTGGCAACTAGCCCAAAATATAGAATTCTTACAATATATAACTTATGACAGGTGCGCGAAATGGAACTAAACAACATATTTCTTGTACGTTGGGGTAAAAATGAACTATTGAACAGAACATAGCATTTCGTAGTGGAGCGAGTAGTATTAAACAGAAATTACTATTATTTAGACCGATTCGACAAAGAATTATCCATATTTCAACAAATGTTAACATGACATTATATAAATCAACTGATAATTCTTCCAAGATACATCTCCACATTCCAATATCCTGTTATTTTATCTAATCGAAATACCTTATAAACAAGAATAGCCAAAAGAAATAATTATCTTGATCACAAATTATTATAGTATTGACTAATAATTTTAAAGTTAGTTTGAACTTATTATTTCTAATTAATATCAAAATATATCTTGACAAATACATTAATAAATACAAAGGATTCCTTCCAGTGCTTTGATTTTCCTAATAATTGACACAGTCAGGACTATCTATTTCTGTTTCAGACCTCCTATTCTGATACACGTGTTGCCAATGTAAACACATGGGCGCAGCCATATTGTGACGTCACACCGCGGCCTACTTCAAAGGGCCGAACATTTCCCATTGAGGATTTATAATAAAATGGTAAAGAAAATACTTTTACAGGAACATTCCTCATATGGGATGTAATAACAAGTTAAATACATGAAATAAAACAAGACTTCCAATCACGACATGACATCTCAGTTGCTATTTTGACAAATTACGAAAACTGAAACATACCGCGAACATGCCGTTTTCAGAAACCGACCAATTCCCCACTTCAATCGACAAAATACCACTTTTGAGACCAAATTTGCAGTTGACACTCTACAATATGCTACATCATATATCTATGCATTAGAATATCAAAAAATTATCCTTTGTCAGTCAATATTTATACTAAACTTACCTAAAAACAAGGAGAGAACAACGNGTTATTGTCACTATTTATTTGGATACTGGTCAAAATACACAATACACTGACAATGACCGTTCAATCCTAATATAGTTATTGTCATACCTCCTTGCAACTTGATTGAAATGAAGGACTTGACATTGACACTAGCCACTCAAACCTGATATGGTTATGTGTTTTTTAAGATTAGCGAGGACTTTGTGAAGGTCTCTTTCCTGTTGTTTTTATTCTACTTTTATCACATACATACAAATATATTATTAATTTGATATAAACGATCAATTCGTTAACCAAGGGTCACTACAAAATAAACAATATCTATATAATTATGTAAATACGCTGATTACAGGTCTGACACAACATGCCAGGAGTTTAGCTCCTACTGCACACCAGGGTTCAAACGTTGGTAACGATCAAGACCTCCCCATATTGTGAGACAAATTTGAAAGGTATTATTGGTATAACTGTGTTAAACCCATCATGTAAATACAATTTGAAAAGTAAGGTTATCAACTTTAATTTGGAATTACACAGATGTGATTTTGGAATTCTCTTGAATCACAGTTGAAAGAATATTTTGTGTTAACACCTATTGAGCATTTTCACGGCATATGCCCGACATGCCTTGAGCGAAATATTCTTGGTTGAATGTAAAGCTCAATAGAACCTTATAAGTAATGTTCTGAGTGAGGTACTTACTTATGATATCACAATATCAAATAAAATCGTCAGTTGGTTTGTTATTTTCACAGAAAATTTTGCATTCTAATAGGCAAGCTTAAAGTAAATGATAAATGTTATACAAGTCATACATCAACTATATTTTCCTCGTGAAACCTTATATTTCACTGATGAAATGAAAATATCTCATCGTTATTGATAAATTAAGTGTCAATAAAATACTGTAAAATAACTGTAGAATAAGTTAAAGCTAAACATAAGTTAATATTTTCAATAATATGCTGATTTCATTAAAGAAACTTGTATTAGTAAAATATATAACTATAAATCTAGAATGATTTCTCTATATACATGTACATTATTATATATATACCATTATCTCAGTAACCTGTTAAAGGCACTTTTGAATTTAATTTAATTAATGTAATGTTCATAAACATGATACAGTATGTCACAATTAGATATATCTCTTGTCCGTTTTATTTTACTCTACTCAATTGATTGAAAACTGTCATTATTTATTTTTTGATCATTAAACATCAACTTCATACTCTAGTCCAATCACAGTTACCTTTTATACAATCATTCAGACCTGATTATTGAGTTAAAACAAGGGCACAATATATTTCTTACCTATTACTTCAACATAATTACACCCTTACATACATGTATGTAAAAACTTATAAATAAACTATATTTAGATATAAATAAAGATTTTCATTGCCAGAATTTGTAGATAATAAACAAAAAAACAGTATATAATAAATAACAGAGAAAAATCAACTTAAATAAAAAAGCAACCACAAATGAATTTTTCACAAATACTTAAAAAGAAAACTTGACATCATCCAAGGTTCAGAATAAAACAATCTGTTCATTGGAAACTCTCTTATAACTAAATGAAAACGATCTTTTTCTTAACATCATACATTTAATGTAAATGTGTCCTGGTTTAATGAAGCTCATCCTATCAAAAATGTTGTTAAACACATAGTTAACTAACACAGCTTTGACAAAATTATTTTTTAAAAACTTTGTCAAACATATTACCTTGAAATCTGAACACACTTACAAAGCTGACCATGAACTACATATAGTTCATCTCAGAATCTTTTTCTTGTTTTTCTTAAATTCTAAATGAATGAATGATTTTTTTTCTTTGATCACTACTTCTTTGCTTCTTTGTTATCCTCGGGACCTTTGAAGAAGTTGTACAACAGCCCACTAACAGCTACGGTACTTGCAGCTGCCACAGTCCATGCTAAGGCTGTATCAGCCTAAAATATAAAATAGATCAGTTAAATAAGATACTAAATTTGTACACTCTATTTGAAGCAGGCATTGTCAAGATCAATACAAAGATTAAGAGTCGGAGGTGGAGATGAGATTATGGGAGAAAGACAGAGTGATGATTCACAAAATATCCACACTGTATACCACTAAACAAAAACATGTATATACCGGACACTATACACAAATATATGCATATATAGATTCTCCAAAACAAAAACATGTACAAACACAAGAAACATTCGTGTACGGTCCAATTAAGTTGTGATGACAGTCATATTACAGATCAATTTTCTAATCAGCGATCACTACCGATACCATTACGAACAGAACAGAGACTTTGATCTGAGCACACGTATACCTTGAAGACGGATTGGTGAGAAAAACAGGTCTAGTAGGCTACACAATAGTTTTTTGCCAACCCAAAACCAATTTCCTCAACATTTTCACAGAAATAGAATACATATGTCCGTGCCTGTTCGTATCCAAAGTCTTAATCACTAAAAAAGTTCTCCCTCCCTGTTTTGGTATCTCAGAGACGTATATACTAAAATCCCTAGGTACCAGAGAGTCCAAGACCATTCTGACCAGGTTTACACAGAATACAGTAAATTTAATAGTGTGTTACATGTATAGTAGTACTGATTATATGCAAAATACATCCTGATCAGAAATTAAATACTTGTGTGACAAATTACCTTATTTCATATGAGCATTACATTTTTTTTCTTTTTGTAATTACATTTGTATTAATCAACCAATAAAACAACACATTTGTGTGATCAAAAGCACACAATAAGTCAGTACATTTGTTAAATTGCATGATTGGGCATAATTTGCATGGACGATGCATGCATGCAATGATGAGTGTGCTAAATTAAATGCACACAGTATTTTGGTGTGTTATGCTTTCACACAACTGTACATGAATGCTGGATACTACAAAACAAACAAATGTATATAACAGCTACACCCCTACACATATACGGGTGGTCGGGTGGTGGGGTGGCACGGTAGATATCACACTCGCCTTTCACCAAGGGGGACGTGAAAAGATATGGGTACACCTGCCCAACCAAGTGGGTTTTCTCAAGTACTCCGGTTTCCTCCCACTTTAAGACCCCCAGTGCATTGTGTCACCATTTCTCAGTAGAATTTCTTAAAATTTTGTAGTTATGTTGCTTTGAAGTAAAGAAAATTTCCTGCCACAAAAATAAGATAGGTTGTCATAATTTTAAGGAATTTAAATGGAAATTTATGAAAAAAGGAGTGACTTTTGAAAAAGAAAATGACAGTTTGTTGCAAAATAATGTCAATACTAGAATTATGTCAGTGTGACATTAAAGCCGCTCACCTCTTTAAATTTTTAGTAAAGCTTCAGTAACACATTGAGCATCAATATCTACTATAATACCTCAGATATGTGTTTTTTATTCTGCTTATTGAAAATCAGGTCATGTGATGATGTTGCCTTTGGAATTTTCAAAATCAATCACCTCTTAAATGATGCCTTAACATTTCTCCCTCTCCTCTTTTTTCACCCTCTTTTGTGACGCATTGTTGTAATTTTTATTAACTAGCATCCTCCAATGATGTGACATGAGTATTTACATGCAGAATGGCAATCGGTGAATGGGTAATAAAGAATAGGTGCATTTTGTGCTTGTGAAATGAAGGATAATTAATTATAACAGTAGTGGGAAAACATGCATGGAGAAAAAAGACTTTGTACTCCTTTTATTTTTATTTATTTTTTATTCATATTAATAATAATTATTAATATATGTAGTGACTTCATTTACTGTCATTGAATATACAATTTATCTCAAAATCTCACAAATGTCCTTGGAATATATTTGAATTATATTTCTCAATGTGACTTTACCAACGTACGAGTTATTTCCCTTACACCGGATTGGATAATATTTTGACACAGCGCGAATTCTTGTCAAACAGCAGCGGCAGTTGTGTCATGTTCTTAAATTGTTACATTTTCATAAATAAATACACCAGAAATAGCATGCTGTGTTACAGAAATATTTGATAAGCATACACAGTTCACATATCGTTTCGTCTCAGAGCCACATCCGTGGTAGCAACAATGGTTTATTACCGTTATCAACCTAAGCACGATATGTCATATTACGTTCCCGTTTGATACATCAAAATAGAGGTTATACTTCATCACTCATACGGTTAATAAGTATATATATTTACTTCTTCCTTGTAATTACAAAATATAACAAGAGGCCCATGGGCCTTAACGGTCACCTGATATATTTATACAGAGAGTTGATTTTGTTTTTAACACGAACAGAAATATTATTCAAAGTGACAAAAAACAATAAAACCACCTTATTCAATATCTAGCATACAGATTTAAGACTAAAAGTATTTGAAACTAGCACCTCTGATTCTAAACAAGGAAAATGAAGAAATTTTAGCACATTGACTCCTTTGGGCCCCACCCTACATCCCTTGGGGGTAGGGCTGGCTCAAAATGTTCAAAGTATCAAACTGTCAATTCAGGGATATAATTCCAATCAAGTTATTTACATGTAATATTCAAAGTATCATTTGCCATTATAAACCATAATAAATTTTGCCCCCCTCCTTCCCCAGGGGGTAAACGTGAGACCCTAGGGTCATAAACCTTAAGACCCTTCCATCTATGAAGAGTGTTTGATTTTACCATATCTGGGTCTTTGAGAAGAAGATTTTTGAAATTTCAGTCAATTCAACCCTTTTTGGCCCCACCCATCAGCCCGGGGGGGTCAGTCAGGGCTAATATGTGCATACCATCAAACTGCCATCGAATACTCATAATGCTAACCCAAATTGAATCACTTCCAATGGAAATTAAACAAATGTTGGTCCAAAATGTGATTTCCCTATATAAACTAAAGTAAAGTTTACCCCCTTCACAGGGGTAAACGTGAGACCCCAGGGACATGAAATTCACAATTTTGGTAAAGCACCTTAAGACCCTTCCATCTATGAAAAGTATTTGATTCTACCATATCTGTGTCTTGAGAAGAAGATTTTGAAATTTTAGTCAATTTTACCCTTTTTGGCCCTGCCGCTCAGGCCCCTGGGGGCTGGGGACCAAACCGGCCACTACTTTTGTTGACCTTTTGCCATGAAAGGTTTCTGCAAAATTTCATTGAAATTGGTTCAGGGGTTTTGGAGAAGAAGTCGAAAACGTAAATTGTTTACGGACGCACGACGGACGACGCCGGACAAAAGGCGATCGCAATAGGTCACTCGAGACTTTGTCCCAGGTGACCTAAAAAGCTAGACCGTACAGACAGCGTCAATGCTTGACTTGACAGTCTTCACATGTGCTTTCCCGAATCAGAGTCACGAAAACAAACACTCCTCCAACCTTAATTTGAGTTGCTAAAACGCTCAAACCCAGTGCGGGAATTTCACCACCACAATACTCGTAGAATGCACCAGAGATAAATGTTTTGTTTGGTGAAGGGTATCTGAAGCTTTAAGTAACCCCCTGGTGAGTGTCAGAGATTCTACTTTCTATTTACGATAACGAAACTATATAGCGGAAGCATGCAAGACTGAATTATGCGCACGCACCCCGAACGGAAGTGGGTCCGTCATTTCGTCTCTTGACAGAATCAATAAGCCGCTCAACTCTCGCCAAGAGTGGCTTAAAAAAATGATAATGCCATAGATTAGTATTGCATTAATGTAAATCAATTTAATAAATGCTGAAATGATGTCAAATAAATTATCTATAAACGATTAAAAATTGACATTTTATAATAAAACCATATATACACAAAGTAGTTGCAGGTAAGAGTTATCTTTCTTGAAAAACTTCACAGTAGTGAAATAGGTAGCCGGTTTCCTGAAGTACAGAACAAGAGATCCCAGAGGGATCTTGGCGCCCACCATTGTGCCATCTTCATTAGTTCTATGTCAGTTGTTCTTTTCTCTTCTTTCCGCTAATCTGTTTGATCGAGTCATGTTAACAGTAAATGCACCATGAGGTAACTTTTGATCTAAACTTAATACTGATGTGTATGAAAACCAACCTTCAAAGTGAGTTTTGTCATTTCACATATTTACTAGTACAGTACTGAAAGAAATAGAATCGATCATTACAATATGAGAAAGATCTTTTTAGTTCTTCCTTTAGCCATTTAGTTTTTATGATCAGTCTCAAAATATAACATGCATAACGAGGGATCAAGGGGAACCTACATATCAAATTTGAGAAAGATCCCTCAAGTTATTCCTGTGAAATAGTACTAACAAACCTTCAATGTAAAAAATCCAAGATGGCTGTCGGTAGGCCATTTTGTTTAACTGATCAGTTTCAAAAGTAAACATGAACAAATAAAAGGATAGTGGGGAACCTGCATTGGCTGGCCCCAAAAATATTTTTTGGGCGAGTAAAAAATTTGAAGCACTGGCCCAAATGACATATTGGTGGCTCAAATAATTTTGGGAAGAAATATTTCCACAGCATTTAACATAATGTTTCGGCACATTTAAACTACATATACATGTAACATGACAATGTTTGTAATATGTAAAACAGATTAAAACATTATATTTTAAATTCTTCAACCCTAATTAAAACCTGACATGTTTCCAAAAGAAATACACAAAATGTGTTCCCCAAAGAAGACACCCTGGTCGTATTTATATAGAAAATCTGAAGAAAAAAAATATCATCACATTTTTTAAATCTTGGACAGTTCGATTCAAATTGAAGTAATGACAACTGAAAAATATACTGCCCCCAGTTAATGTGGAAGGGACTATAATTTCTTTTATTCATAAATTTTTGACAGTCGCCCAAACTATTTGTGACTACCTCACTTTTGACAACTTTTGGTCGCCCAAGCAAGAATTTAATCGCCATTGGCGAGCAGGCGACCATCCATTTCAGGCACTGCTGCACAACAAGGGAACAAGGGAAACCTACATATAAAATTTAAGAAAGATCCCTCTGGTACATTTGTACTTTCGGAGAAATGGCGGTAACAAATCTTCACTATCAAAATCCAAGATAGCTGCCTTTCGACCATGTTGTTTATCCGATCAGTCTCAAAAGTTGCCCTGCACAGTAAGGGACCGAGGGGAATCTACATACAAAATAAGAGAAAGATCCCTCTGGTACTTCCCGAGAAATAGTGATAACAAACTTTCACTATCAAAATCCAAGATGGCTGCCTGTTGGCCATGTTGTTTATTCGATCAGTCTCAAAAGTTGCCCTACACAGCTTAGGACCAAGGGGAACCTACATAAAAAAATTAAGAAAGATCCCTCTGGTACTTCTTGAGAAATACCGATAACAAGAATTGTTTACGGACAGATGATGGACGACAGACCACGGACGGACCACGGACGCAGGGTGATTTAAGTAGCCCACCATGGTGGGCTAAAAATGGACACATGTGGCTCATTGATAAAAACAAGAGGCCCAATGGGCCTGCATTGCTCACCTGGTATTAATCTCACACTTGTAATCTTCACTTGTAATCTTAAAAGTGGACTAAAATACAGCTACAGGCAGAATATCAGTGTTTGATTCATAAGAACCTATTAAAAGATTTAAACATATGACGCATGTGACCTTGAATGTCGAACAAGGACATTAGGTTGAACAGAGTTTATAGTCTTCCAACCCAGCATGCTTCTGGCAAAATTTCATTACCCTGGATCTTTTGGTTATACAGAACAAATCATTTAAGGATTTAAACATATATTGACCACTGTGACCTTGAATATGGGCAAAGGTCATTCACTTTGTAGTCCTTCATCCTAGCATGTTAATGGCCAAATATCATCACCCTTGGCCTGCTTATTAAGACGTCTAAAGAAGTTTAAAGGTTTTTAACATATTTGACCCATGTGACCTTGAATATATGTCAAGGTCGTTCATTTGAACAAACTTGGTAGTCCTTCATCCCAGAATGTTACTGGCATTATCCTAGGCCTCTTGGTTATTCAAAAGAAGTTCTTTTAAAGGTTTTTTAACATATTCAACCCTTGTGACCTTGAATATAAGTCAAGGTCATTTGAACAAACTTGGTAGCCCTTCATCCAAGCATGTTACTGGCAAAATATCATCACCTTATACCTCTTGGTTATTCAGAGGTTATTAAAAGGTTTTTTCATTTGGACAAACTCGGTAGTCCTTTATTCCAGCATGCTACTGGCCAAATATCATCATCATCCTAGGCATTTTGGTTATTGAGAAGAAGTTGTATTACAGGTTTTTAACATATTTGACCCCTGTGACCTTGAATATAAGTCAAGTTCATTCATTTGAACAAACTTGTGGTCCGTCATCCTAGCATGCAACAGACCCAATTTCAGTACCCTGAGCCTTTTGGTTATTGAGAAGTCGTTTTTAAGATTTTACGACATTTGAACCCTGTGACCTTTAANCTTCATCCCAGCATGCTACAGGCCCAATATCAGTACCCTGGGCCTTTTGGTTATTGAGGAGAAGTTGTTTAAAGATTTTAACATATTTGACCCCTGTTACCTTGAAAGTGGGTCAAGGTCATTCATTTGAACAAACTTGGTAGTCTTTCATCCAAGCATGCTACAGGCCCAATATCAGTACCCTGGGCCTTTTGGTTATTGAGAAGAAGTTGTTTGAAGATTTTAAAACATTTGACCCCTGTGACCTTGAAAGTTGGTCAAGGTCATTCATTTGAACAAACTTGGTAACCCTTTATACCAGCATGCTACAGGCCCAATATCAGTTCCCTGGGCCTTTCGGTTATTGAGAAGAAGTTGTTTAAAGTAAAATATTGGCGCCGGCACCGCACCACTGCATTATAACTGAATTAATGCCTGGATTGCTTTGAAATACTTTATTATTGAGAGAACACACTGTTCTGTCAATAATAAACATACAATAATCACCATTATAAGATCATGGACAAAACCTAAACATAAATATAATGACTCATTACACAGTTATTACGGTACAATGTATTTCTGTATTCTAATATTCTGCCAAGAATGACAACTCTTTGGTAATATATTTATTAACAATGTTTTCTACTTACTTTTCCTGTATTTTTGGCACTTTGTAACACAAAAAGGTCTGAGAATATGCGGAAATTGTGATACTGTCTCCCTACATTGCATTTTCAACTAGGGATGTACTTCCTATTTCCGTTTATCAATACACTCATTCGACCTTAACATCTGGGCCAACGAGAGTGATCAATATAAGTTGTAATAACTTGTTTCATAATTGTTGTAAAATATTTTACATTCAGAAACCAAGTATTTTTTGTTTACCTTTTCTGCAGTGAGAACAATCATTACTTATTTATGTGTTGTGTGGTCATAAAGCACTTACATAAATTTTGTTTACCTGTTTTAAAGACAGAAAACTGATTTTGTCATTAATCTACCTGTTCTGTTGACAGTTTTATGGTTATCTTGTTCCATCCGCAGAAAGCCTCTCATAAATCCTTTACCTGATCCATATTAAAATATATCATTAACTCATGTATTATTTACCTGCTCTGACCACTTCTTTCCATATCTAATGAAGGCCGCAAAATGTTCACAGTTATTCCACAGAACATTGTAGCCTATCTCTCCGACCATCTCCATGGCTACCCGCACCATCTCGTGTGGTTGACGAGGCCTGAAAACAGAACAGCCTACCAGTATATATACTATACAAACTGACATTGTTTATGTAGGAACAGAGGTATGTAAAAACTTAAGTGAGAAGACTAAATACATCAACAGCTAAGGTTTCAATACTACATATTTCCTATCTACATATATACATACGAGCATTTCCTGTCCTTTCCATTATTTATTTTCGCTTTACATTTGAGGGCAATTTTCCAGAAGTCATCAATCATCACCCAGGCTTTGCTGAAATTCTTTCCACAGATAGTAAATACACTCCCAGAGTTGATGTTCCCATTAATACCATCATTGTCCCCTCCAGACAGGTGCACAATCCTTCCTTCACCTTACCAGAAAAATAAGGAGGAAAACAACAACAAATCAATAAACATTATCTTCATAGTGTTTCAACAATTGTAAAACAGTTAAATATAGTTTTGTTCCAGTACAGTAGCACTACAAAGTAAAGTATTCATTATATTGCAACAGCATGTTTTAATCTACCACTGATATGTTTGAGCTTAATTTGCAATCAAATCTTCTTGACGTGGACATGGATAAACATGATGCCCAGCCATGGCAACTTTTTGTGCCTTTCTCTTTCAAAATATTCATCTCGTATCTAGAAAACTGTATTTTTGCCCTTTAAAAAATCATTGCAGTTTCTGATCAAGGAAAATTCCCAAAGATTACGATGTGACAAGATGGAATATGTTAGCCCAAAGCATTGTTACATTACATCATAACTAAAAGTCTGACCAATGAAGTTGTGTCCAGGGTGTCACTTACTGGTTGGTAACAAAAATATTTACCAACTCCAAGCAGGATTACCTATAGAGTTGATAGTGAGGAAGAGAACAGGTTCTGGAATATGTCACAATGTTACATTGATCCACATTTACATTGTTCTATCAGATACTATTCAGCCCCCATTCACAGTATCACCTACCTAAATAGACACCCCAATGGGAGTACCAGCCTCTTGGGAACTCCACCATGTCTCCAATCTTAAGGTCATTGAGGACTGTAGCATTATGGGATTGTACTGACATAGAGTTTCCAGCCATATTGCATTAACTTCTGAAATGAAAAATAACAAAACAATAAAAATTGAAAAATAATAATAACAAATAGTTGAATTAGGTTTAAGATTGAAAGGACAACAGAAAAACAAGAGATCCAAAGGGATGTTGGCACCTACAATTGTACAACCTTTATTACTCAATCTAAGACTGATCTTTCGTCTTATTTTCTCTTATCTGTTAGATTGAGAATCATGTCAACAGTAAATACATCAAGTGATAACTTTAGATCAAAATTTTATACTGCTGTTTTTGCCATTGTCCTTTCAAAGTGAGATTGTCCTTTCACATATTGACAACTAGTGCATCAAACAGGAGTACAAAAGACATTCCTGCTTTCTTGCATCCTTCTTTTTCTTTCTATGAAGTACAAAATGAAATGTGCAAAACAAGAGAGCAGGAAGAACCTATTTAAGGAAGAACATTTCTAAGAAACAGGGCCAACAAACATCAATGGTTAAATTCAAGATATTGAACAGGGCCGTCCTTTTTTCTCAATCAAGGTAAATAAGAAACATGCACAAAAAAAGCCTAGTTGGGAACTTTGTAAAAATCTACCACCTGGCAACAATCTTGTTCTCGCACGCAGTTTCAAATCTGAACATGCAAAACTAAGGACCAATGAACATCTTCTTGTGATATTTGAGAATGATTCCTTTGGACTGGGTCAATCGTCAGCGACCAAGTATATTTAGCTACATCATGTAAATTGGTAGAGCGTCCTTCTAGAGTTTTGGAGGTCCCTGGTTGTAATCCCGGTCTAGCCATTGCATTTCTCTTTTTCATGTTACAAAATTGGCAAGCTTGCAAACCCTTGTTTCAAGTACTGCGTGAATGCTTGGCAGGGGAATATCTGAACCTGAATTGTAAATAGTGATGTCTTTGAGGGGGGAAAAGGGAGGAATGTAAAGGAACTGGACTGGGTTGATTGTCGGCAACCAGGTGGCTCCATTAGTAGAGCCACCGTCTAGAGTTCAGGAGGTCCTGAGTTTAAATCCAGTCTTGCTGTTGCATCTCTCCTTCTTCTATTTAAAAATCCCTCTCAAAATTAAACACACTCAACGAAAGAGACCATAAGGATTAATCTGAAGACATTTGAGAAAGATTTAACTTGTACTTACCTTCTGAGAAAAAGCGATAAGCTTCAAATGTCCAAATTAATCCACCATCTACAGCCCACCACTAGAGAATTGTATGCTAAAAAAATAATCTTATTTCATCAATATGAGTTTTCTCCTTTATTTCTATAGCTTTCAGACCTAACTGAATTACTACAAGAGTAAAATACCTTACTAACATGCATATGGGTAAACTATCATATCAAACTGTACTTGTATAGACATCACATACAAATGAATCACATGACCAATGTACATGTGTAATGCAATGGAATATGTGTTTCTTACATAATGTTCATAAGATAAGATCAGATAAGATTTTTTTTATCTAAAGTCGGCGAATATTTGACCGACATGCATGTTACATAAATAAACATTCATACTTATACAAGATAGGCAATACAAATACTATATTTGATAAAACACATCAGACTTCAAGTTATTTTCAATAAGGACAGATTTGACACATTGCAGTTAGACAAAATATCTAGAATATTTTAAAACACATCAGATTTCATATAAAGTCAATAAATTAGCACTGATCCAATAAAATACATGTAAAATTGACACAGGAGAGGTGTGTAGAAGTGAAGGGGCTGGGGTTGAGGTTTAATTTGCAGGCTGAACATTTGCATTGTGTACCGTTCCGGGAGGATATTAAAGATTTGAAGTGAGTGAAGTTATTTGTTGTCCTAAATGTGCTGAGTAGATTGCTCCAAAGGCAGGCTGCTGTGTATCTGAAGGATGTCATGCTGTATGTAGTGGTTCTAACTTGTGGAATGTTAATATGTTGGTTAGTAGTGTATCTGAAACTGTCTGTAGTTTTGGGTTTTAGGTGTGACAATGTTGTGGGGGGTATGGGTTGTGGTTTCTTGTATAATTGTATGTTTCTATTGCCATTTCTCTCATTCTTCTTATTTTTAAAGTAGTTCTGTGTGCCCTGGTCAATAGGTCATCGTAAGAATATCTACTTTTGTAACATCTGTTTCAGAACAGAAGTGCCAGGAAAGTGGGCAGAAGTGAAAATGTGAAAGAATAAAGGTGTGGAATATTGTGAGTTTATTAAGACTGTTGATGTGTTTTCTAATTTTGTAAAGTACATTTAGTTCATATCAAATTATTATTGTGCAATATAGAAGACTTTAAAAATAATATAATCATTCATATATGGTAACGTTTAGGGTTAATTATCGTCATTATTTTGATATATGGTAACGTTTAGGGTTAATTATTGTCATTATTTTGATATATGGTAACGTTTAGGGTTAATTATTGTCATTATTTTGTCAATGGTCATTCAATCTCGGTAATGTGAAAATGACAGGCCAAAAAGCCTAAATAAGCTCATTTATGGTGCCCTAATTTTTCTTCTTTTGGGCCCTATTTCTCTATCTTAGAGGACCACATGCTTTATATACAATGTAGTCTCCTAGCTTGGCCCTAATTCCTGTAGGAACTCTATCTAAATCAGAGATTTATAACGATAGATATAAATCTCTGATCTAGATAGAGTTCATACAGGAATTAGCTTGGCCCATGCCCGGTTCTTTGTTAACTAAAGGTTGACTATTTTTTGTAGTTGTGTATGTACAACAATTACCGAGTCTGTTCTTATTTTGAGTAAAATGGAGTAGGAGAGCGGGGTATTTACCCTGTTTGTATTCACAGGCTCCAGCTATGTAGTTTTTTTCTGGGACTTGTTGATAATTGGCCCTATTCCCATTTGAAACTATTTCATGTTCATGTTTATGTTTAAGGTATTTCAGTGTCAGTGTATTAGGATGTGATTCGCAAAAAAAGGTATTGCGGTGTTTCCAAAGGTTCAGTATACCTGATAATGGGACCTGTCATAATAAAATGAAACACGAATATAATAAAACGGACCTTGGATACACTTACCTTGATTTGGGATCCCTGAGCATGTTCAATCTACTTTCGTTTTTTGCATTACACTACAAACGGACGATTATATTAGTTAGCTACATGTTCTAAAAAATATATTCACCAGGACTTTCCGACAAAAAGTTATAGACAAAAAAGCAACGAAACGCTTTAAGCATAGTTGTACATTGAGGTGTAAATTCGAAACCCCTACTCTGTGACTGAAAATAAATAATTCTGTCGATGACTAATTATGATCTTGTAAATGTTTGTAGAATATGTAACAAAAAGAAACGGATAGGGACATAGATCCGGATTTTCCTGAATACTGTAGTAATAAAGTATTAACTTAATGTCATTTTTTTAAACTTTTCACATATTTCTTGTCTTCCCTACTTNTTTTCTCCTTTTACCTATACATTGTATTGACAAGAGTGATAATGTGAAAAGGGGAGAAGTTCATAATTAACTCGCTTAAATCATGTCACAAAGTCAAAAAGTGTCAACACAGTTCGGTTTATAAGTCTTTCCAAATTTCTTACATGTCATCGACAAAATATCATGTTTTAACTAATTTTATCACTAGCACAATAAATTGGGCTTGAATCTGGGGTTGAGCCTAAGAACATCAGTTACATGAATACATACGGGCCCAGAGCATATGATGGATTGTGGATGCTATGAATGATATCCTTATAAGAATCGTACTGCCATATATCTCTCAGTTTTGGGGGAGGACATTGTTGTTGATCAGAATCACTTCTTGTTGGGGTGTGTTGACCTGTTACACTTACTTCGTTGTTGGAGAATTATAGATTGGCTACTATCACTCATATCATTTGAGAACAGAGAGTTTAAAATGTATCGGTCACTTTTGGGTGGACGCACATGTAATTGTTGACAATTTTCACCCAATTATGATGAAGACATATTGCTGTTGACATATTGCAATATGTCTCACGTTTGTGTTGGACCACGGAATTAGATTAGACCGTGATTGGACATAGATGTTGACCTGTATCAATATATATTTGTGTGTGTGTGTGTG